CCCTAAACCCCTAAACCCTGACTCAAGCCCAAACTCAGAAGCTCAGGCCCACACTTCCCAGTCCTACATCTGAAAGTTGTACGAGATCCGTCTCAAAGAGGAACAGAAGCCCTTAAGTAGGGATCCCTTCATATAGAGTCCTAAAGCCCCCGAAGCCCAATACGCTATAAACCCCTAGATCACCCAAGAACCTCAAAACCCTTAGAGCCCTGAAAGCTAAAACCGTCATAACCTATGCTCCCCGAAAAGGGATGCCAAAGGCCAGCGCATCTCGTGACGACACCCACCAAGGCTGCAGCACCTCTCAACTTGTTTTTTTTTTTAGGGGTTTAGGGCTCAGGGTTTCAGGGCTGAGAAGGTTTAAACCCCGAGCGAAACCATGAACCCTACCCCTTTGGCTGTAGGGCTGTCCGGCCCAGAAAAAGGCTCAAGGCTTGACACAAGCCGTAAATTGGCCAGATCGTAAGAAGAATTAGCTGCAGGGTCCTGTACGCACTCAGTGTCTGTGTGGAGGAATTAGCATGTGGTGGGTGGGGTACGGTACCAGCTTAAAGTCACAGTCAGTGCACAGTTTTGCCATCGTCCACTACGCCGTGGATCGTCAAAGATACCACCTACCCTAAAGCTCGCACCGAGAAACACCCTAAACCTCATTATCCAAAATCCTACAAGTCCTAGGGTCCTAAATCGAACATGCCCCCATGGAAGAGCTCAGTTAACAGAACGTTTGTTTCGTTGAGTCTTAGCTCGGTCAGCCGCTTCAGGTCGTGTTGTCATAGAAATGTCTCAAGAAGGATTGGATTTAGGTTCAGAATTTAGAGTGTCGAGGTTCTATAGTTACTATAGTGCCTCTGTAGGGTTCAGGATTGAGGGCTGAGGGTCTAGGCCTAGGCTTAGATACCGAACGAGCAGGCGTGGTGCTTTGCCGGCTCACATTTCTTTCCAACCCGCCAACGCAATGATTCCCAATCACCCAGTTTCATGCTTTGTGGAGTGCAGCATGCCTTTCATGCTTCTGCCGAGATCTTGTCGGGGTCTGCTGGGCCCTGAACCCGAAACCCCTAACAAATGGTCCTGCTCTTGAGACTTTCACAAGATATTGCGTGGAGAACTCTCATAGCGATGCAGCCTTAAGTGACAGCTCAAAATAATGTTCTTTTGTGCTTCATCATCATCATCATCATCATCGTCATCGTCACCGGCATCATCATCACAACCCTACGCGTAATCCTTGTCCTCCCCATCGTCATCCTCGTCGCATCAGATCATTGAAAGCATCTGTATCTTCATTAGCTCATCAACAAATCACCATGGCATGCCATGCCGAATCGGACCATAGCAACAACGGCAACAACATCAGCGCAACATGCATGGCACCATGGAATGAACGATACAACAAAATTAACACTCCACGGCTTCTACAAGGTAGCCGACTTCAAGACGTACACCGTAGTACCGAAAGAAAAATTGTAAGAATCCACGGCGCGTGAACATGAGGCCAACAAAACCGTTTGTTACTGCAAGAATAGGCTGCGCCATAAACGCTCACAATTCAATATTGTGAATAGCGGCCTCTAGAAATTCGGCGCAACGCTACAACGCTACCCTGCAGGTGCCCGGCCGCAACGATCAGCAGGATCACGGCCGGGATCAATGGACAGATCGGTGCAACGATCGCAATAGCAACGCGCTGTGCCTCACTCTTTAAGGTTCAGGGTTTAGGAAAGTTTAGGGTCTCCTATAAGCCCGAAACCTAAACTTCCTAAACCCCTTTGTCCTAAACCTTAAACCTCGAATTTCCTAAACCCTGAACCGTGAGGTGAGTTTGCAGAACCCAAGAACGCCAGGGCCACTGATTGTCAGATTGGTGCTGACAGCGTGTGCTAATGAGTTTGGTATCATATTCATCCAACAGAACAAACCCCAAGAACACCCAAAGGATCTCGGTCGCCCAGCTTGGATATCTTGCAACATGGGGGGTGGTTGTCAAATTATAGTCCCTTTTGGGTCCGTAATATAATACGGC